GGCAACGCACACTTTCGTACAAATCAAGCCAGTGCCCCTCAGGGACAAAGGGAGAGCACCCGGTGTCTGTGGTCCTCATCGGCCATCTCCGTAAACACTGCCCCGTGGGACGAGGCCACATTCTTATCGGAAACCACACGTTCCCAGGCGTAGAACTCAGGCTCTGACCTGCCAGGAAACCCTGAAGCACCACGGGGTCTTTCAGAAGCAGCATCCTCAGCAAGGCTCCTTTGGCTCAGGGGTGGAGCCTTGACCCATGAACCAGAAGGTCATCCTGGTTCGATTCCCGGTCAGGGCACATGCCCGCGGTTGCTGGCTCCATCCCCAGTAGGGGGCATGCAAGTGGCAGCCGAACAATACATGTTTCTGCCTTATCACTGTTATTTCTACCTCTCTCCCATTCTCTCTGAAATCAATCCTATATAATAAAAGCCTAATATGCTAAGTGTCCCGTCATCGGGTAATCCGTTCAACCAATCAAATCATAATATGCTAATAATAAATATGTTAAGGCTGCTCAACCACTTGCTATGATGTGCACTCATCACCAGGGGGCAGACATTCAACAAATGAGCTGCCTCCTGGTGGTCAGTGCACTCCCACAGGGGGAGCGCCTCTCAGGCGGAAGCCAAAATCATGGCTGGTGAGCGCAGCAGCAGTGGTGAGAGCCTTTCCCATCTTTGCAGCATTGCTAAGGATGTCCACTACCAGTTTAGGGATTGGGCCTAAGCCGTCAGTTGGACATCCCCTTAGGGCTCCCTACTGTGAGAGAGTGCAGGCTGGGATGAGAGACCCCCCCGCTGAGTGCACGAATTTAGTGCACCAGCCTCTAGCAAATATATATTTAAAAAATAAAGTAAAATCCATGGGAAGCAGAAGGCCTCCCTCAAATCAGAGACAGTACGTGGCATGGAAGGACATGGAGTCCACCTCAACCTGCCCTCCTCCTGCATCCCTGTCCTGGCCATCAACCACCAGCAGCATCACCTCAGAGCTGGGAACCCAGCAGTCCACATGCATTTGGGCAAAGGGCGAGGGTTACACATAGGATGTCACAACTGCAGCACCAAGGCCAACTATCGGCAACATACCCCCAAAACACCTCAGGGAACTCACAATTCCTCACCAAGTCCACGAGCCAGAACAGCCATCGCTACCAGTGGGGAAATGGGGCCTAATCAGGAGCCATGCAAGTTTTGTCCTTTGGTGCCCAGGTCAGAGCTGCAGGTTCTACCACGGCAGAGGAAAGAAGGCCAACACAGATCCACACCATGAGTCCCCGGGGCAAGGCCCCGGCCACACCCTCCAAACTCCTACAGAGGAGGTGCCCTATGGCCACTGTACCTACACAGCCCACACATACCAACCAGAACCGTTCTTTCAGGGCCACCCAACATGGTGGAGAGGCCTGTGACCCTCAGATAGAACAGGCTGAGATGTGGACGCCCTAGGCGGTGCCTGCATGAGTGTGACAAGGGAAGCTGTCCCTCACTCCTGTCCCTGGAGCTCTGAACGTGCTGGACCTCAGTTACCGATGAGAACGACGATGGTATGAGTTCTCACTCATTTTGTTCAGCTCCAAGGAATGTTGGTTTGGTTTTTTTGGGGGAATCATCATCGATCCCAGCACGTTCTAAAAAATGGAGCTGCTGGAAGGTGGCTCACTGGGTGTGGCGATGACCTCAGAGTCCTCCAGGGCCTGCAGGACCAGGTCCCACCACTGAGCAAGTAACACTCAGTCTATGTCAGAGGGAAACCCCGTGAGCCATCGAGACACCCAAACAAGCCGCCTGCAGCAGCTCCAAACCCACAAGCTAATGGCTGGGCGAGGAGCAGAGCATCGCTTACCTGCCTGGGGATCCCGGCTCCGTGCCCGCTCAGGCACCGTCCTCAGTGTACTCCCGGGAACTCGGGCCATCTCCTGTGTGCAGGTGGGTTCCAAATATGGATGCACGTGCTGAGTACAGGCCTCCGCATGTGAAAAATGAAGCCCTGTGGGCAGGCTGCTGTGTCTCAGTGGTTGAGCAAGGTCATGGCTCAATATTTAGTCAGGACACATGGCCAGGCCCTGGGTTCGATCCCCAGTCGGGGAAGTGCAGGAGGCAAGCATTCAATGATTCTCTCTCATCAATGATGTCTCTCTCTCCCTCTCCCATCCTCTCTGAAAATAAAAAGAAAATGTATTTTAAAACGATGCAACTAATACCAAGAAAATCGTCTCTGATGCTCAAACACCGGGAGGGCCTGCATGAGGGTGACAAGGGAAGCTGTCCCTCACTCCTGTCCCTAGGATACGGAACGTGCTGGACCTCAGTTACCGATGAGAACGACGACGGGTGTAGTTCTCACTCATTTTGTTCAGCTTTTCCAAGGAATGTTGGTTTGGGTTTTTTTTGGAGGGAGTCATCATCGATCCCAGCACGTTCTGGACACAGGGCCTTGGCCCAGACACACAGTTCCAATTGGCTGACCTTGGGACAGAGAAAGGCTTACCTTCCCGAGCGCCCCGCGGGCATGAGGCAGACCAGGGGCTAAACTTCTTCCAGGACCCGCCCACGTCCGACCCCCAGGTAGAGAGCAAGGTGGTTTATTCCAGGCGGACAACAGGCCTTTCATGACGACGACACCTGGAGAGTGAAGAGAAACCACATGCACATTTGAGAAACTCATTCAGCTTCTCAGGTCACATGATCCATACCACCCTTTCCCCGGGTACAGCCTGCACCTGTCCTTCCTTCCTCTATCCCTTAGGGGTGAGATGGGCGTGTGTGACACCATGAGGTGGGCAGGTAGGCAGCTGGGCTGATGCCCTGGGAGGTGCCTGCATGAGTGTGACAAGGGGAAACTGTCCCTCACTCCTGTCCCTGGAGCTCTGAATGTGCTGGACCTCAGTTTCCGATGAGAACGACGACGGTATGAGTTCTCACTCATTTTGTTCAGCTCCAAGGAATGTTGGTTTGGTTTTTTTGGGGGAATCATCATCGATCCCAGCACGTTCTAAAAAATGGACCTGCTGGATGGTGGCTCATTGGGTGTGGCGACGACCTCAGAGTCCTCCAGGGCCTGCCGGACCAGGTCCCACCACTGAGCGAGGAATACTCAGTCCATGTCGGAGAGAAACCCCGTGAGCCATCGGGACACCCAAACAATCCGCCTCCAGCAGCTCCAAACCCAAAGCTAATGGCTGAGCGAGGAGCAGATCATCGCTTACCTTCCTGGGGATCCTGGCTCCGTGCCCACTCAGGCACCCTTCTTTGGGGATCCCGGGCACTCGGGCCATCCAGGCCGACAACGGGCCTCTCGTCTTGGCCCATACAGACCCTGGCGCTGGGGCTGCACCTGAGAAGTGGACACAAATCACAGGGGCGTTTGAGTCATGTGTCCAGGACCTCAGGTAAAATCGCTGCCATCCTCTTCCCTTTCCTGGGCCTTCATCTCATTGTGCCTAGGCCTGTCCCTGAGGCATGAGTGAGGGCAGGTGTGATTTCCTGTGTGCAGGTGGGTTGCAAATATGGATGCAGGTGGGGGGAGGGTTCGAGGCCTCTGGATGGGAAAAAGGAAGTCTTGCGGGCAGGCTGGTGTAGTTCAGTGGTTGAGCGAGGTCATGGTTCGAGGGAGCACATGGGCATACTGCAGGCTCGATCCCCAGTAGGGGGTTTGCAAGAGGCAACCAATCAATGATTCTCTCTCATCATTGATGTTTCTTTCTCTCCCTCTCCCTTCCTCTCTGAAATTAATAAAAAAATATTTTTTAAGAAAAGGCAACCAACACCAAAAAAATCATCTCTGATGCTGAAACAATGGGATGGCCTGCATGAGTGTGACAAGGGAAGCTGTCCCTCACTCCTGTCTCTAGGATACGGAACGTGCTGGACCTCAGTTACCGATGAGAACGACGACGGGTGTAGTTCTCACTCATTTTGTTCAGCTTTTCCAAGGAATGTTGGTTTGGTTTTTTTTTTGAGGGAGTCATCATCGATCCCAGCACGTTCTGGACATAGGTCCTTAGCTCAGACACATGGTTCCAATTGGCTGACCTTGGGACAGAGAAAGGCTTACCTTCCTGAATTGCCGGGGACAGTAGGCAGACCTGGGGCAACACTTCTTCTAGGACCCGCCCATGTCCAACCCCCAGGTAGAGAGCAAGGTGGTTTCTTCCAGGCGGACGACAGTCCTTTTGTCACGATGCGACCTGGGGAGTGAGGAGAAACCATATGCACATTTGAGAAACTCATTCAGGCCCTCAGGTCATATGATCCACAGCAACCTTTCCCCAGGTACCGCCTACACCAGTCCTTCATCCCTCTATCCATTAGTGCTGATTATGGGAGTGTGTGACACCATGAGGTGGGAGGTAGGCAGCTGTGCTCACATACTAGGTGGTGCCTGCATGAGTGTGACAAGGGGAAGCTGTCCCTCACTCCTGTCCCTGGGGCTCTGAACATGCTGGACCTCAGTTACTGATGAGAACAACGACGGTATGAGTTCTCACTCATTTTGTTCCGCTTTTCAAGGAATGCTTTTTTGCCGTCATCATCGATCTGAGTACATTCTAAAATGTTACTCAGGCTGGTGTTTTGGCTCATTGGGTGAGGCAAGGATCTCAGAGTCCTCCAGGGGCCTGTGGGATGCAGATCCCAACACTGAGCTAGAAGAATACTCAATCCACTGTTGAAAGGAAACCCCGTGTGCCATTCCAACTCCCCAAATCATAAAATTGATTTCTCCACTTGGAGTAGGAAAATGCTTACCTTCCTCAGCGATCCACAAGCAGGGTGCACACCCAGGGACACTCAGCTTCCAGGACTCCCCCATCCCATCCGTCAACAAAGGAAAGGAAGGTTGTGTCTTCATTGCTGATGGCGAGTCTACATGGCCACTCCTCCTGGGAAGTGTACAAAAACCACATGCACAGTTGAGAAATGGACCCAGGTAACCACATCTAGGCTTACATTCTCCCCAGGTAAGACCTCTCTATCAGATTCCTCTATCCCTGACCAATGACTGCAGGCATGTGTGTACCATGAGGTTAGCCAGGTAGGCAGCTGTGCCAACACTCTAGGTGGTGCCTGCATGAGTGTGACAAGGGAAAGCTGTGCCTCACTCCTCCTGTCCCCGGGGCGCTGAACGTGCTGGACCTCAGTTTCCGATGAGAATGACGACGGGTGTAGTTCTCACTCATTTTGTTCAGCTTTCCAAGGAATGCAATTTTTGGGGTCATCATCGATCTGAGCACGTGCTAAAATGTGAGCAAGGCCGGTGTTACGGCTCATTGGATGAGGCAGTGACCTCAGAATCCTCCAGGGGCCTGCGGGATGCAGATCCCAACAGTGAGCAGGAGGAATACTCAGTCCACTATTGGAGGGAAACCCCGTGTGCCATTCCAACACCCAAACCTGTGACTCTAGCAACTCCCCAAATCAGAAAATTAATTTCTCCACTTGGAGCAGGAAAATGCTTACCTTCGTCAGGGATCCACCAGCAGGGTGCACACCCAGGGACACTAGGCTTCCAGGACTTCCACACGCCACCCATCAACAAAGGAAAGGAAGGTCGTGTCTTCATTGCTGATGGTGAGTCTACACGGCCACTCCACCTGGGAAGTGTACAAAAACCACATGCACAGTTGAGAAATAGACCCAGGTAACCATATCCAGACCTACATTCTCCCCAGGTAAGACCTGTCTATCAGGTACCTCTATCCCTGACCAGTGACTGCAGGTGTATAAGGCACCATGAGGTGGGCAGATAGGCAACTGTGCCAACAATCTAGGTGGTGCCTGCATGAGTGTGACAAGGGGAAGCTGTCCCTCACTCCTCCTGTCTTGGGGGCTCTGAACGTGCTGGACCTCAGTTTCCGATGAGAACGACGACGGTTGTAGTTCTCACTCATTTTGTTCAGCCCAAGGAATGTTGGTTTGGTTTTTTTGGGGGGAATCATCATCGATCCCAGCACGTTTTGTGAAGCCAGATGTCTAGGTGAGGCAGCCGAGGCAGCTCACCTCGTGAGCCAATGACCTCAGGGTCCGAAAGCAAGAGGGACAGTCCATCCACTCTTGAAGCTCAACCCCACAGGCCACTGTGGACACGTGGACAGGCTGCCTCTAGCACATCGACAAACTCCCCAAGCAAATGACAGATTGTGGGATAGAGGAACGCTTACCTTCCTGCGGGATCCACAGGCAGGGTGCACACCCAGG